GAGGTCACCGTGTGGATTAACATTGTCAACAAGATGGATAAATTTTGGTTTGGGAAGATCGGTCTATGAAGATTATTTTTCATAAGCTTTGATTATTATTTTTTTTTTTCCAAGAGCTTCGATGTAATTGTTTGTTCATACGTTGATTTAATTTCCAAATAAGTTATTACATTTTGGCACTAAAGATCTTGATATTGCTTTTGTTTTTCTAATTTTTTGGGGTTAAATTTGATATGGCTTATTGGGAGGCCATTACTTGATGTACAAGGACAATCATACTCATGATTGTACCCTTGTTTTGGCATGTTACCAAAGAAAAAAGAGGAATTAGGAGGAAAATTTATTCTGAAGCAAGTCGATTTTGGGAAAGAAAGAAGAAAAAAAGGAATGCTATCACCAGAACTAAAAATATAAAATAAATAAATAAAATGGGCTTAACAACAATTTTCCTAAGCGATGTTGCTTCTATTGATTGACCTTATTCTATGTTTACAATACATATTAAATAGTATAACCCAAAGGCAGAGATATCTCAGAGCAAAGTTTGATCTGCTCGTCAATAAAGTAACTTTGCCATCACCAGTAATTCCCACAAGAACAACTCCCATCCTTGAAATGGTGGAATCTGCTGGCGTCCCTCACTACAATTTCCCGTCCTGTAACCCTAGCAATTAACTTAACTGCAGAATGGCAGTCTCCACAAATGCGATGGCTCTGCACAATTTGCAGCGGCGTCCCATCCGCAGTACTTATCAGTCCATAAGCTATGGCCAGTTTCTCACTGTGGTAAAACAATCTTCGCTCATGTTCATCAACATCAGGAAGTAGATGCTTCTCCTCAGGGATGTAACCGTGTTTTGTAATCCTGATCATCAAGTCATCCATTTTCTGGTAAATCTCTCTTGTTTCGGAATGGCTTTTATCTCCCGAATGGAAAATATGTAAATGTTTCTTAACTTCAATCCAACTGCATGCTGGTAGCATTCTTAAACCCTTTCTTCTTAAAGTCTGAACAACACTAGCAGCCTCCTTCAACTTCCCAGAACTGCTGTATATATTTAAGAGCACAACATAATTACTTAGCTTCTCAGGTTCCATCCCATAAAGTTTTTCTGCTGCAAATTTGCCGAGCTCTAAATTCTCATGGACTCGACAAGCTGTTAGGAGGGCAGCCCACATATTTGCCGTAGGATTAAAGGGAGCACTTCTTATTAGTGCAGAGGCTTCATCTAAAAGCCCCTCTCGACCTAGCAATTCAATCATACAAGCATAATGCATAGCACGAGGCTTAATCTTGTGATCCCTACTCATTGATTCAAAAATCTCCCATCCGCGTTCTGATAAACCTGAATGACTGCAAGCAGACAATACTGCAAGAAAGGTAACATGGTTCGGTACCATTCCTTCCTGAAGCATCTTCTCAAACATCTCAACAGCCTCATCACCCCGACCATGATTACCATATCCAGCAATCAAGGCATTCCAAGATATTACATTCTTGAGGGGCATCTGGTCAAAAACATGACGGGCATCTTCTATCCTTCCCCATTTGCAATAGAAGTCCACAAGTGATGTGTTTGCCACTACATCTAATCCAAAGCCATGACGAACTAGACCTGCATGAGCTTGCTTAGCATGTTCCAATGATGCCAACCTAGCACAGATTCTTATGATCATGGAAAATGTAAAATGGTCCATCCGAACACCAGAATCACGCATGTCATAGTACATACTCAGAGCTTCCTCACTGTAACCATGGAGTGCATAACCTGCTATGATGGAATTCCATCCTACTGTTGTCTTCCGCGGCATCTCATCAAAAACACACTGAGCATCTTCAATATTCCCACACTTGCTGTACATATCGATCAGCGCACAAGATATAAAAATATCAGCACCTAACCCCATCTTCAAACAACAGGAATGAAACTGTCTTCCAGCAAAAACGAGTCCCAAGCCAGCAGATGCCCGAATCATAGTGGCAAATGTGCGTGACCCACCATCAGAAAACTCTTGCCACATAACTAGAAACAACTGGAAGGCGTCCATGAAATCCCCAGAGTCCACAAGGCCCCCAATTATCGTGTTCCAAGAAACCAAGTTCCTCTCAGGCATTTCCTCGAATAGCCTACGCGCATCGATCATCATGCCGCATTTCACATGCATAAGCAACACTCTGTTCCTCATATACTGATCCGGTTCAAACCCATTACTAATCATGTAATTAGTAACCCTCTTCACTCCCCTAATAGATTTCAAACTAATGCAAGCACTCACCAACGCATCGTACGTACTACTAGCCAACTCATAACCACCTTCAAACTCCAAAATTTCAAACAACTCAAATGCTTCTCTGTATCTTTTGTACAAAACCGACTTCTCTATCTGACTACAAAGTCCAGAATTGCGTTTTACGACATGGGTATCTTCCAAAGGCGTTGCTTTTGGTTCGTCAACCTCAATTTTGGAAGGTATGGGCTTTGGGCGTGGCTT